ATGTTATTATTATTATTATTTACTTTAGGTGCATATTTGTGTCACAATAAATAGATAATAAGAGAATATGGTTATTGAGAAATTTGTTGACTTCATTTACATAGAAGGAACAAAAAATCTAAAAAAAACGGAAGCTAGTCTATTTTTGATTTTTTTAATTTTCAAAAAATCTCAATTTTTTTTAAAATTTCAAATTTTGCCGGTCTGGTCATGTTGACCCGTGACCCGCAGCGGGCCGTGTCCAGGTTCGTGTTTTTTGTTCCTTTTACAAAACGTGTCGTGTACGGGTCATGTCGAGTTGTGTACGTGTGGAGCGCGTGTCGTGTCGGGTTGACCCGTAATGCCACCCCTATCCAGGATGTTCAACTCTATTTATTGAATATAGAACACAATAAAAGTTAGTAATAGATATTATTAAGTTGGGTGTAGCTCAGTTGACAACACAAGTAAGCTGAGTACAGTCAAAATGAATTTAGGTTCAATTTTCATCACATATATTTTTGGGAAGAGACAAGGAGCTTTAACTATGACTAAGCCCCGACTCAGGATTAGTCGGGGCCGACTCATCTCAAATAGATAATTAGGGTTGATAATTTTTTTTAATAAATATTATTAAAGAGAAACACCATTACTCCATAGTAAAATAAGAGCATAGTAAATAAGGTTTATCTCTCGTGTAATAATTTTCAAAGAGTATGATGTATATTCCGAGAGGTTGATTATTATTTATTAAAGAAGGAATCTCACAATAAAAGTCAATGACAAATATTATTAAAAAGAATCACGCTTACCTCCATAGTAAAATAAAAACACAGTAAATAAGGTATGTCTGGTTGGGTATGGCTCATACTTCGCATGCTGATGAAGGTCTTAGTTGTCGGGGTCAGCAGAAAGGCAACTGGGGTCCGGGGGGCAGCGCCCCCAGGCCCGTAGAGGTTAGGTACTGTTGCGGGCCTCTGTTTTATTGTAATTTTCTTAACAGTTTGGGCTTGGGCTCATGAATAGCTGTTGTTAGGGTTTTGTAATTCTATTTATATTTGCCTTGTAAATCGAGAGACTTGTAACGAGTGGCGGTGGGGTAAATATAGTACAGACAAGTTGAACGTAGTCTATATTAGATGAATCAGGGTAAATCGCTGTGTCAATTTCTCTACTCTTATCTCTTTTTCTGTTTTCTCGATTTTGTGTGATTGTCGATGTCCAACATGCCTCTCATTTAATAAATCTCAAAGAATGTGACATTTATTCCGGGATTTTGAATTTTATTTATTAAATAAAGAATTTGACAATAAAAGTCAATGACAAATGTTTTTTTTTTAAAGTTAGCATAGTTACGTCCATAGTAAATTAAAAACACAATAAATAAGGTCTACCTATGATTTAATAATTCTCAAAGAGTGTGACACAGGAATGTTGAATTCTATTTATTGAATATAGAAGCTGATAACAAAAGTTAATAATAAATATTAGGGGTAGGTTTTGTTTACAAACTTTTTTTGTTTACAAACTCTTACAAATTACACTAAGTATGACCGGTCATACTTTAATCATGCAGTGTACGACCGATCGCACTTAGTGTAATTTGTAAAAAAAGTTTGTAAACAGATCCTATCCCTAAATATTATTAGAAAGAAGGTGAAGGATATACTTACCACAAAAAATTTATAACTTTTACAACTAACCTAATGATCACCATTGATTTCCGTCAATCTAACGGTTATCATTTATTGAAATTAATGATTAATTAATAAATGCGACCCAATAATTTTCAATAAATGATAACCGTTAGATTGACGAAAATCACGGTGATTACGTTGGTTATAAAAGTGATAAAAATTTTTTGATTGTAAATATACCCTCCTTATAGAAAGAATCGCAATTACCTCCATAGTAAAATAAAAGCATAGTAAATAAGGTCTGCCTCTCATCTAATAATTATGAAAGAGTGTGACATTTATTCCGAGAGTTTGATTTTTATTTATTAAATAAAGAATTTGACAATAAAATTTAATGACAAATATTTTAAAAAAAACACAGTTACGTCCACAGTAAATTAAAACACAATAAATAAGGGCTACCTATGATTTAATAATTCTCTCAGTGTGACATATATTCCGGAATGTTGAATTCTATTTATTGACTATAAAAGCTGATAATAAAAGCTAATAATAAATATTATTATAAAGAATCACGGTTACCTCCATAAGCACAGTAAATAAGGCCCGCCTATCATTTAATAATTCTGAAAGAGTGTGATATTTATTCTGAGAGTTTGAATTTTATTTATTAAATAAAGAATTTGACAATAAAATTTAATGACAAATATTTACAAAAAAACACAGTTACGTCCACAGTAAATTAAAACACAATAAATAAGGGCTACCTATGATTTAATAATTCTCAAAGAGTGTGACATATATTCCGGAATGTTGAATTCTATTTATTGACTATAGAAGCTTATAATAATAATTTAATAATAAATATTATTAGAAAGACTCACGATTACCTCCACAGTAAAATAAAACACAATAAATAAGGTATGCCTCTCATTTGATAATTTTCAAAGAGTGTGACATATATTCTGGGAGTTTAAATCTTTTTTATTAAATAATGAATTTGACAATAAAAGTCAATGACAAATATTTTTTTTTAAATAGCACGTTATGCCCACAATAAATTAAAAACACAAAAAATAAGGTCTATCTCTCATTTAATAATTCTCAAGGAGTGTGATGTATATTCCAGAATATTGAATTCTGTTTATTGAATATAGAATATAACAACAAAAGTTAATAACAAATATTATTGAAAAGAAACATGGTTAGTGAAATAAGAGCATTTTAAATAAAATCCACCTCTCATTTAATAATTCTGAAAGACTGTGACATGTATTACGGAGATTGAATTTTAATTAATAAAAAAGGTTGATAATAAAATTCAAAGACAAATATTATTTAAAAAATAGATTGTTACCTCATATTAATTAATAAAAAAAATTTCATTGATTGACACATTAAATAAAAAGAGAGAATTGTAAATATATTCTTTTGATTTCTGCTTTTAGTAACCAACGGTAATTATATCTGCAATAATGTTTATAAACACATCTGAATAAGAAAATATTGCATAAAAGTTACGGTGAAAGATATTCATATTATGCGTTCCATGTCAACGGTCAATGGATAAAGATTTAGGAATAACGTGTCTCCATGAAGATGAAATCTTAACCTAGAAAGTAATCACAAATATGACATATAGAACCTTTACATCTATTGAAATTTTACAATCACAATAGTTAAAATCTTAAAAATAAATAAATAATAAATTGTATGTCTCAAAATCGTCACAATTTTCCATGTAAATAGTGAAACCAAAGAACAAGCTCGCATAGCTACTCTCGATCTGAAGAGAGAGCACCTCGCTCTTTTGGTCTCCAAAATGTGAACAACTTGTGACACCTGTAAATTTTATGGAACGGCTCTTTAAGACTATTTTTTTATTTTCAAATTTAAATTCAAAATTTCTGATTAAAAAAAAAAGAAAAATATTTGTTTTAAAAAAAATATATAATGGTGTCATTTTAAGTCAGAAAAATATAACTTAAATTTTTTATTTAAAATTTAAATTTAAAAAAATTATTTATTTTCTTTTCTACAATTTTTATTACTTATTTTTTTCTCACTTAAAATAACATAAATCTATGTCATTTAAAAACACAAATACTAAATCCAAACACTAGAAAATACATTTTTTTTATCAATTAAATCAATAATTAATAGAACATGTAAGTCAACTTTAATTACAAATAGATCAATCTCCAAATATTTTTTTATTCATTAATCTCCTTATATGTTCTAAGGATTTTATTAATCTCATGCAACACAAGAAAATCTCTCTCATGTTATAGAGACAATTATGTGTGGAACTCATTCACTTATAAAAAAGAAAAATAAATAAAAAAGTAACTCAAAAATTAATATATGTGTAAGAGAGAAAAACACTCTCCTAAAATATTTTTTTTCATATTCATTAAAAATGACATAACTTTGTGTCATTTAAAATGACAAACATTTTTTCTATTTAGGGTCTAGTGTTTGTAATTTTAAATGACATAACTTTGTGTCATTTTTAATGAAACTACGTCGTTTTGGTGTGTTTTGTCATTTTTTCTAGTTTATAAAATTAGAAATAAAAAGAAAATAGAGGAGAGAGAATGTTAAAACACACCAAAACGACATAGTTTCATTAAAAAAAGACACAAAATTATGTCATTTAAAATTACAAACACTAGACTCTAAATAGAAAAAATGTTTGTCATATTTTAGATGACACAAAAGTTACAAACATTTTTTCTATTTACTTATTGATTTTCTCATTCTCCGTGTAGAAACAAGCAACAGTGAATAGATAAACCATAAGGCCTGTTTGGTAAATTCACAATATTGGTTCGCCGTCTTAACTCAAAACAAGGTTCGCTCTAACCGCCAGTTTCCAAACAATCTATGGGGGCGGGAAGTGGATCCAAATACTGCTTTTCTTTTTCTTTTTCTTACTTTTTTTTCTCTCTCTCTCTATTTTCTCTCTCTTCTTTGCTTAGGATTTCCAATAACGTTGTGCTTGTCAAAGCATTATCCCATGCTATGTAGCCCATGGTTTTTTCTTTCTCTCTCTCTCTCTCTCCAAATATATAGAATCCAATCTCAAACTTTTTCCCAACCTTTTTTATCATCCCCATAAACCTCATCCTCTAACATATACTTTTTTTTTTCTTGGGTCACTTTTGCACTGTTACTACAAATATCAAAGATCTTCTTCTTCTTCTTATAGTCAACCATACCTATTTCATTTTTGGACTCATACCCAGTTCAGGAAACCTTTAAAAGTTTCCTTTTTTACAATTTTTGAATCCTGATATTTAGTTTTTTCCCTGTATGTGTTGTTGTCAATTAAAACAGATGAACCAGGATTAAACTTGGTTGTTCAACTCCAAGGACTTTGAAAGTACTTGATTTTGTGAAAGGACAAAAGGGTTATTATTCAGTGATCACATATGAAGGAAGATAGTGGTGGTGTCTCATTGGAAATGGAGGGTGGAAGAGAAAGAGTAATTGCACATGTTAACAAGGTTGGTTATGTGAAGAGGGTCATTGCAAAAAAGACGAAGCCTTATCGAAGGGTTAAGAAGATAGAGCCTAAGGTTCCAAAGGCACTTAAGGAGCTGTTTGTCTCATGCAAGGAAACATTCAAAGGCCCTGGCACTGTTCCTTCACCACAAGATGTTCAGAAACTGTCTCATATTCTTGGTATGATTTCTTTGATTTTTTTTTTGAGTCTGAAATTGATGTGCTTGGTTAAGAAAATTGTAATTTGATCTATTGTTGTTATTTCTATATAATCACATTTTGATGTTAAAAAAGTTTTGAATCATGAATTTGAAATATGTTTGGAATTTGAGATATTTGCTTTTTGTGGCTGTGAATTCTGATGTATTTTTCCCAGAATTACTAAGAAATCTTCCAACCAAATTGTTTTCTTAATGTTATTTGGGTGTGCCAATTCATATCGCTGGGTGGTGCTTTCATTTTGGCTTTTGCACCAAATTAGAGGTTCAATTCATTTTCTTTTTTCTTTGATAATTTCAATTCATTTTCTTTACGTCACATTGTCTTTTTATATTTATTTTTAAAATTTTATTTATGTACATTTTGCTTCATTCGAAATTGATAATATAATAGTGTATTGGGAAAAGTATTTCTACGGTCGTTTTAGATAAGGTTATTTACAACTACTTTAAAGCTGTTCTTTTTTCGGTCATACTTAGTGAAAAAGATATAGCTATAAGATAATCTTATCTAAATTGGCCGTAGAAATATTTTTGCCAAATGATATTTACATCATTCTAGCATCTCTTAGAATGACTTATTGACTTACCGATACTTTCATTTTTCTCTTTCCGTTTTAAAAATTAAACTGAATTCCAAGTTTCAACTTTCAACGCAAGATAGAGAAAAGAAACATCTCAATGAGCATTTATTGTTCATGAAAATATGAACGTTTGAGAACAATTTTCCTGGGTAAATAAATGCATACCAATTGACTCTTGTCTAGAAGTGCATTCTACATACAAATTGATATGCATTTTATGCGCAAACTAATATATACAAGTTATATTCTATTAGCATATATGTAATGTATATATATTGATATATTATTTTCTTTCTAAATTCATAATTTTAATTAATCTGAGTTGTTGTTCTAATGTTTTAATAACCAGATAATATGAAGCCAGAAGATGTTGGGCTAAGTAAAGATATACAGTTCTTCAAGCCTGAAAATGTTGTCAAAGAGAACCAAAGGGTCACATACACAACCATGTACAAGAGTGATAATTTCTCTGTAAGTTTTGCAATATCTAATTTTAGTCATTGTTCTTCACCAATGCAATTGCTAGCTAGATGTACTTAATTTTAAGGGTGCTTTTTCTTTTACAAAATGCAGCTCTGCATCTTTTTCCTACCTGCAAAGGGTGTCATTCCCCTTCATAACCATCCAGAAATGACTGTTTTCAGTAAGCTTCTATTGGGAAAAATGCACATTAAGTCTTATGATTGGGTTGATCCTGAGATCTCTCACAATTTGTTGCAGCAACCATCTCAATGTGTGTATTTAAATCTCTATTAGTATCACCAAATTAAATGAACCTTAATATATTAGTTTTTGGAATTTGACCCCTTACACTTGATGTTTTTGCAGTGAGATTGGCTAAGTTAAAAGCTAACAATGTTTTCACAGCACCTTGTGATACTTCAGTGCTTTATCCAAAGACTGGTGGTAACATCCATGAATTCACAGCCATAACTCCATGTGCTGTGCTTGATGTCATTGGACCTCCTTATTCCAAAAAAGATGGCAGGGATTGCTCCTACTACAGAGATCACCCTTATACTGCTTTTCCAAGTAAGCTTTACTTTAATTGTCCACAACAGTTATTTAAGGAATTATCACTAAGATACCATATACATTGGTGTAAGACGTGAAGTCCTATATTCATTAGTACTAACTGAGAACCATATAATTAAAAGCATCCATAACTTTAATGCGTTAAGTTTTTGGGTTGAGACTTGATGTCGAGTGAGGTGTGGCAATATGGGCGGCCCACCATATTTAATCTGTTCCGCCCCGCTTTTGAAAGTGAGTTAGAAAATTTCAACTCACCCCGTTTTATGATGGGTTGACAGATCAACCTGACTAAGATGAAAAGTTAAGAAAAATAGCCAAAGAGGGATATTGAGTGAGACGTTTTAGAAGAAATGTCTATTTTACCCAAATTATCCCATTGAGCTTTAAAAATAAAATAAAAATAACCTTCTAAATTATGTGGTTTGACAAACCCACTTCTTGTAATAGATTGTTGCTTAGTCCATTAATGATGACCATCAATATATTTATATAGTTTATGCAACTTGCAAGTCTATTTTTCTTGTTTTCCCCAACAGGAAGCTTTTACTTCTAAAAACATAAACAGGGCCTTCAAATGTTTCTATTGTGAGTGAATGAGGCAACCATAAAGCTGTGATCTCACTTGGCTCAGTAATTTTGTAGTATTGAATTTGGAAAACAAATGAGCCTAGTTAATATTTAGGTTTAATTGGTCATATTTAATTCTTTTTTCTATCATCTAATTTTGTGTCACATGAGGTGGCAGCTCTTGATTGGATCCAATTGGTCTAAATTAGTAAATAAGAATTTACATTATTCTTGAGTCTCAGACCATTAATGATTTTTTAATCCTGCAGATGGAGATTTTGCTAAGGTGAAAGAAGAAAATGATAGTTATGGATGGTTGGAAGAGATTGAGATGCCAGAAAATTCTCAAATGGATGGGATTGAGTACCGTGGTCCTCCAATTATAGAGAGTGCCCTATAGATAAGATCAACATTCAACATGTATTCAATAGGACACCCTCTTAGCTGTTCTTACTGTGCATACCAAAGGCATATACAAATCCACCATCCCTCTACCTTTTTCTCCACATTCATGAATATTGGCATGTAATGGTTTTTGTTCTCTAGTGCTTAAATTTTACTATTTTGGAACTAAAGCTCTAATATGATCTTTTTTTTTTTTTTTTGCCAGTTGGTATATTGTAGCTTTTATAAAATAATATAACGTTAAATATGAGGCTGATTCTAAAGAAAAGAAAAACTATGGGCTTAAGTTTGCTGAAATGTCAAGCAGTTTTGATTCTTCATTTGGCTTAGTTCCAGGTTGTGTGATCTAAGTTGTGTAAACTTGACCAAGAATTTGGAAACTAGTGGTGAATAATGTTGACTTGTTTAAGGAAACCATTATTGTTGGAAACATTTCCAAAGAAAGGGTCAATGGTTTACATTTCTCGGGATATTTGTGGTTAAAGTTTTCTATCCGAGCTTTTTTTTTAGTCAGAAGTTACTTTTTTTTCTCAAAAAAAGCACTTTTATTTTAAAATGTGTTTGGATGCTGCTTCTAAAAAAAGCAGAAGTTATAAAAAAAGTCAAAAACTTACTTTTTTTAGAAGTTAAAAATTTTAGTTCTCAAAAAAACAAAAGTCAAAAGCTAATTTTTTTTTTCAAAAAATAAATATTTTTAACTTTAATAAAAAGTACTTTAAAGATAAGTAGGGCATAAAAGTAACTTTTTTTTAAAGGCAATTCAAATGCACTCTTAATTTCAAAATTAAATAGTATTCAAAGAAAAGCTTCAGGGAAAACTTAGTTAAATTAATTTCATGTACATACAGCTTGAGAGTTTAAAGTTTTTTTTGTGTGATATTATTCATGCATTATATTTTTATACCTATCCTTTATATTTATTTTTATTTGAGAAAAGGGAAATCAAGAGAAGGAATGCTCTCTTTTTAAAGAAAGTGTAAAATAACACGCTTAAATAATATTATCGGATAAGTTATTTTACCTTTTTTTTTTATGTTTACCTTCGCCTATCACTCTCTAATACTTTTAAACAGTGTTTTAAAACCCGACTCGGATTGGCCGAGTCGACCCGGGACTCGGTGACCCGATTGGTTCCCCGGTCCGAGCGGGTAGTTGGACCGCTTCTGCAGTCAACCTGAATTGGACCGGTTGACCCGGCCGAAACCTGGCGACTCGGTGACCCGGGTTAGACCGGTTATTCCTTTTTTTTTTTTGGTAATTTTTTTTTTGTTGACAAGAACTCTTGAATTAAATCATATTCATATTTTATGATGAATATGATTAAAAGTAAGGTGAAAATAATAAGGTATTTTAGATTAGTGCAGTTCGTTTATGTAATTTAGTTGCATCTTATAATGATCTCATGAAGTTAAGTGGTGATAAACACTGATAGTCTCATGATCTCATCTCAATGGTGAACACTTTTTTTTAGTGTATATTTCATGCATACTATTTGTTATCTTGATAACGGTGACACTTTTTTCTTAGTGTATATTTCATGTATACTATTTGTTATCATGATTTAATTTATCCGTATCATGTCAAACACAAAATGTGCATTTAACTTATATTGTAATTTTAATCCAATATTAGGATATTGTCTAGAGCTAGAAGCTTAGAAGTATATAATATTTGCTATCATTGAAAATTAATTTATTTTTTGAAGCTCATTGATAGTTTTCTTTTGTGAATTTTTATTAATATAAGTAATATTTTTATATTTTTAATATGTGAACAGTAAATCCGGTTCAACCCGGTTGAACCAGTGACCCAGTACCTTGACCGGTCCGAGTTTTAAAACACTGCTTTTAAATTAGAATCTCAACTACCTTTATCATTTCTCTCTCATATTAAGATTCTGATCTAACAGTGTTGGAGAGTGAAAGACAAATGTAGGCAGAAAAAGAGGTAGGGAGAATAACATATACCTATAAATATAATTGTCCAACTAGTTTTATAACCCATTGCTGTTGGAAATCGACACACATAAATCTCAAAACAAAAAAGAGAAAGAGAAGAGAAATTAGACACAGCGATTTACCCTGGTTCATTCAACGTAGACTACGTCCAGCTTATCTATGCTATATTCACCTCACCGCACTCGTTACAAGTCATTCAATTTACAAGGAAATATAAAAGAATTTAGAAAATCCTACGTCCAGTTGACTTTCTGCTGGCCCCACCAACAAAGACTATTATCAGTATGTGAAGTATGAGTCATACCCAACAGTTGCAGAGATTGTTAAATGATTAGCTTATAAATTTATCAAATGATTAATACAAAATAATATAAAATATAAATTTGAGTAATTGCATGTTAGATTTAGTTAATTTTACATTATCAATATTGATATTCTAAGATTGAGAGTTTTAGAAAAATAATCAAACGTAGTATTTCTTAAAATATAAAAGGAAATTTCTTTAAATCAAAATAATATCCAATTTATGGTTTTTGAAAAAAGAAAGGACAGTTATATTTACTACCACTTATCTTTACTATCAATTTAATTATATCAAGATATCTTTGATCAAAATTACATTAAAAAATATGATGCAATATCTAATAAAAAAAGCAGTTTTAACATTAGTAGTGAATTTGCAAAGACTCTACTTGCTACCGGAAAGCATATTCAAGTGGTCCATACGATAGGTGCGGTTTTGGTTTTCTTTGCACTAGTGCAGATATATGATGGGAAATTTTGTTGGAGCAACTTCGCATGAGCTTTTGAAAAAAAAAAGACTTTTTATGAATTATTTTTTTTTTAAAAGAATTTTTTTAAAAGGTAAAGTTGTTTTATGTTTGGATGCAATATTTAAAAAATGTATTTGAGTAAAAATGTTATTTAGATGTTAAAATAAAAAATATTTTTAAGTGTAAAATTATTGTTGTGTCCTTTCCTCCTTGTGTATTATGTTTCTGTTGTGTGTTCTGAAGCAAAGGAAATTATTCCAACACAAAAAGGAGATCGAAAACTATGTTCTATGAAGTACCGACACTTCAAAAACCCTGACGTGTCGTGTCCGATACTTCCCAACACTCTCCGACACTCCAACATGCGTTATAGAAATTTTAAAAAAAGTTCAAAGGTTGCGTTGCGTTGAATTTTTAATTTAAACTATTAGATTCGTAGGATTATGATTATCATTTTATTGAATTTAATATAAATATTTAGGATATATTATGTTTTTTTGCAAAATTTATGAATATTATAAATTTAGCGTCATTTTTTTGTTAAATTATTGAATATTAAATATAATATACACTACATAATTAAAAATATTATTTAATATCAAAACGTGTCCTAACGTGTCAAAATCTAATATATTTTAAAATTAACGTATCGGGATGTCGTGTCATATCATGTCACGTGTCCCGTATCAGTATAGGTGCTACCTAAATTATGTCACGGTGAATGAATTATTCGAAGCCCTGTTTTTAACTTCCATAATCCCGCGAGGTAAATGACGATGACGGTGCCCAGTTGGTGGTACTCCTACCGTACACTACTATCCATCCATCACCATCACTATCTTCCTAAAACGACATCACATCCATCACGTCCTTCCTCATATTCAAAGCCACAGTTGTAGCTTCCTAAAGAAAGGTAATTTACTCTCCCATCTTTTTTCTTCTCTTACTCTCTTTCCATTATTTTCCGTTATCAACCCAATTTTCCCTTTGGATTGTAATATGCTTGTTCCATTTTATGATTATTTGTTGAGAATTTTATATTTTGTGCCTGATTTTGAAATTTTATGTTGTTATGATCTTTTTTTTTAGAGTTTTGTGTTTGATGTCTGATTTTGTATTTATGTTTCGGGGGTCCATTCCATGAGGCACTTTGTGTTAAAGGTGGTCTGAACTTGAAGATGAAAACGAAGATGTAAACAAAAGAAAATAAAGAACGAAAGATGTCTAATGAACTGAGAGGTAAACCAGGATCATTCATCTGCTTTAATCTTCTCCTTCTCCTAAAAGCCAAAAATTCTAACTTTTGAATAAAAGTCAAATTTTAGCTTTTTATTGACTTTTGTTTTTTCAAAAGCAATTATCCAAACAATCAAAAAATTCCAAAAGCATTTTTTTTTATAAAAAAAATAGCTTTTGAAAAAGTAGAAACCCATCCAAACACCCTCTTAGAGGCACATCTCTATGTTTTATTTCCCCTTGTTTGTCACAGCCACCAAGTTAGGATTTCATCAGCTGGACAATAGAATGCTAATCAAATAAAGAATAAAAAAATTTATGATATAAATTTAAGTAACTAATGTGAGAGTTAGGATACCAAAAAAATTGTCAAAATGGATCGGCATGTATCATTAGGCTTAGCCCATGTGGGCTAGGATAAAAAGACCCATAATAATAAAGATTTTCCGGGCCCAAAAGTCCAATGGGCTAGAATTGATCCGCGAGCTATTTAAATTTCAAAAAGAATTATTTTTTTATCAATTCAATATATTTGAAATTATTTTAATAAATAAATATTTAAATGTAAGCAAAATATTAATTGTTGGTAATTTGATTTTTTTTAATGAAATAATATTTGCACATAAATGTACAAGAAAATATATAAGCAAAATTTTAATTATTTTTTCAATAATCCTTGAACAATTGGTTTTATATTAAAAAAATTAAAGTCACTACTTATTATATCACGGAATAATGATATTTATTATTAAGTAATACTTAAAGTAATTTTTTTTTATTATTTAGTAAATTTTTCAGTAAGGTGAAAATTTTAATGGTTTGATTTTTTAGTAAAAATTAGTTAAACAAGACTTTGTATAGCCCTCTCAACTTTTTTGCTGTACCAACGATCAACTTTTTATTTTATAGATTTTGTTAATAAAATTTTGACTATTGATTTGTTATTGAATGGATGTGATTCATCACAAGACATGATATAGTAAATTAGATATGAGACTATCCATTTTCATAAGACTTATTCCTACATGCAATATTAATTATTAATTATATATATATATATATATATATATATATATATATATATATATATTTTAACATTTCAGTGTTGGATTCAAATTTGGACAACTCAAACAATGTAATCTATATTTTAATAC